TTTTCTTGTAAAGTACGGGGAGAAAACATTTTTTACCCTTTTAAACGGGCCAACATTATTTTTCGTTTTAAACATGGTTTTTCTTAAAACAGTTTAAAATGACAAAAAAAGCTAACTGGGATTGAGTGATAAATATGATGTGACTAGTCATGGTGGCAGATATTTTAATTGCAAAGTCACCAAACGGGTTGGCGGCTTTATAAGTCGCTACTAAATTTGGCAATTTTCATTAACCACGGTTCAATCCAGCAATACTTTAGTAAATATTTTTATCTTGATCTCATTTTCATAAATAATTATTTAGCCACATTTGATTCAGGAAATATAAACTCTCACGACCAAGGTGTGCTATCTAGAGCAATCCTTCTCTCATCTAGAAATGACTTACAACCTAAAAACAATTCCATCACACACGACAAATCGTGTATTTCATTCTAACTCTTTTGGTGACCTATCAAGATGCTTCCTTGTTACGTAGTATGTTTTATAATAATTTAATCATACACACAACACCTTGAAATTAATAAATTTAAGAAATTTGATCACATAATCATCATAATTTCCAAAATTTAATGTGACCAAAGGAGTAGAAACTAACAAAGTTAAATAAATTGATTAAATGCATATCAAATATTAAGAGATCATTAAATAACACTAAAACTAATTAAATCGACTAAATCTATTGGAATTAGTAAAATTCATTATAGAACTACTCAATTGACTAAACTTGATAAGTCATGAATAAATTATCTATCAATTTGTCACAAATTACACACACACACATAGAGAGAGAGTAGTGATCTTGTCAGGCCGGGCTGACAGGACTTGCCGTTCGACCGAGGACTTTAGGGCCCTTCGCGGTGGAATTTTTTGATGATTTTTTAGCACGTTCATCATCAAGTCTAGTTTATGCTCACCAAATTTGAGCTTAAAATTCAATCGGATGGTAGTCAAATAAATTGTTGAAAAAACTGTGATGTTTATATAGACAGTGGTCGAGGTGATTGGTATAGACAATGGCTGTATTTATGTATTATGGACTAGATTTGATTCAAAAGCGCATATGGTGGCATGAGCTTGGGCCGTTGTGTGTCTAAGAGTAGGTAGGTCGTAGATTTTGGCACATATACTCCATCGGATACCTAAGCGCAGAGTTTTTATTTTGGAAAACACAAAAAAAATGATTTCTCCAACTTAAGAAAAAAATCATAAAACATGTATCTGCTTTTTAATTTTGGAGATTCAGCAGGTAAACACATGTTCTAATTTTCCATAATCCAGTTTTCCATTTTTCTAGAAAAATAGAAAATATTCTAATTGGTAAAAAGACTCTTACTTTCTTCAATAGTGCTTGGTGTACACCCTAGGTTACACCATATTTATTTGACCTTCGTACAGACAAAAAAATACAAATACAACACTTCGATAAAATTTGTTTGTGTAAACAAAATTTGGTTTGCAGATTGATTAACGTACCTTTTTGCAGATTTGTCAGGTTGGTTGCACGGAAATTTATGGAGAGAATGACGAAAGAGTGTAGCTTTTTGAAAAACCATTCCAAAAAGTGTAAAAAAATTGTACATGGCAATAAGTTGTGGGACCTTCAACAAAAAATCCCTTAATTTTTAAAACCATTATAACTTTTGCATTTGTTTTTCATTTTTACAAAAAAATACCAAAATTCATAACTTTTTATAATCTTTCACATTGCACCAATATCACATATATAAAGTTTTTTTAAAAAGTTCGAAATGTGGGAGATTTTTGTCCAAAAAAATTTCTTAAGTAGATCCAAGTAAAAAAAAAATCAGATCACATGGTTGTTTTTGCACTTATTCACCCAGAACAATTTTTGTAAATTAAATCCTTACGATTATTATAATCAAATTTTTCAAATACTTTTTACGAATAATTATGATTTAAAAACTCAAACATTCTCAATGTAAATTAAATAAATTTGGAGTTTAGTTTTTTTATTACTCCAAACCTATATTTGAAAAAATAATTGGAATATGTAAAACATTAATTGCGAGATCTTAATTTTAACACTTCAATTTCAATTTTATCACTCGAATCTACATAAGAAAATTTCGGATCCTAAGAGTTTTAGATTATTTTTAAATTTTATATGTACAATATTGATGTCATATGAATGATTATAAAAAGTCATAAACTTTAATATGTTTTTTTGTAAACAATGCAAAACAAATGAAAAAGTTAATAAGCTTAAAAAAGAAGAAAATTTTAATTTAGAGTGAGGAAAATCATTTTCTAAAACTTACACTTTTTTTGAATGTAATGTAAGAAACATACACATATTTGTCAAACACCCAAATTAATGTCGATGTACAAAGACAAAAAATGTGTAACTACAAACACTTTTTTTTCCAGACAACTAACATCAGATTATCTATTTACACAAATAAAAAAGTTACACATAGTGACACAGGCAACTAATGTATGTGTATGTGGACATTGATTTGCGTGTAACTCACATTGATTGGTGTACTTTTTTTGCAGTAATGTCAGGTGGTTGCATGAGAACCAATGTCTATGTACATAGACATTAGTTGTTAGTTGTGAGTGTACACAAAATGTGTCTATGCATATATAACCTAACCCTGACTTTTTGTAACATTTTTTGTTTGTGCACAGACACTGAAAGAAAACCGGTGTCTTTATACGTACATTTTTTGTCTATGACGAAATTTTGTAGAATGTCACTAGTTTTCAATTTCATTTTTTATTACAGACAATATGTATCATTATTTAGCATGATACTGAAAATATTTATATACCATATAGACAAAAATTCTAACATCTCTAATTTTTTTGTGACTTTCCGGTGAATTTCCTGTTATTCTCAAATAATAATTTTTCAGTGAAAATGATGATGGAAGATGATGGTAAATAAAAGGTATTCCCTCCGCCCCGCAAAGATTATCCCAGACACTATTCACCTGGTCAACACAAATCACTCTTAATCTCTTACTTTATAAATTATTTTTTTATCAAATTTGAATTATTTGATTCTGGTTTTTGCGACTTTGTAAAGTTTTTAATGTAGTTTCTGAATATGTATTTTTTTTTCTAAAAATAATCTGAGTGCGAACAAGGATCTGCTTGCTTTATCGTCAGTCAAACATGATAGAAGAATGAGAAAGAAAAAGGGAAAAAAGAAATAGGGGTGTTTGGAACTGATTCTGCTTCTGCTTCTTTTTTAAAGCAGAATCAGAATCAGTTTTTCAGAAGCTGGTACCCCCCAACTTCTAAAAAAACTGATTCTGAGAGTAAATTAGAGAACCAGAAGTGCTTCTGGAATTTCTCCCAAACACTCCACCTTCTGCTCCCTGAAGGAGCAGAATCAGTTTTGAGAATCAGATCCAAACACCCCATAGTCTATTGGTATGATAGAAGAGGAGAGAGAAGGGAAAGTAAAACGGAGCGACTCCGCGCACCCCCAAATGTGCTGGGCACGCCTACATTTGCTCGTTAATGGACTAATTTGTCCTCTTATTTGCTGGGCGCACGTCTTGGTTTAATCGCACATTCGCACATCTATTAGCTCTTACTGTACTTCGTATTTGTTGGATGTTAGACAAAAAAATGTTAGACATTATTATCACTCTACTATTTGACAACATTCATAAATTGGTTTTACTTTTTGACCTCCCCTCTATATTTATTGACATATCTACCTCAAAAAAAAATATTTTTAAAACATAATCAAACCCTAATATAATCAATCACAAAATGTCATTACCTTTACTCCGTATCATTTATGACATTTCACGTTTTTATTTCACATAATGTTCAAAAAATAAAGAGTTAATATTTTAACATAAAAATAAATCCTCACTTTTAACTCTTTAAATTTTTCACGACAAAAAAAAAACTCTTTAATTTTTTTTTAAATTTCGATTTTTTAGTTTTTAATTTTATTTTTGCTTTTTTTAATTTGTTTTATTTATTTAAAGGCAGTAAGGGTAAATCTGTTCCTTTATAAGAACATTAGGAGTATTTTTGTATCTTTTACAAGTCAGGAATATATCTGCACATTCACATATACTTCAGGAGTATATTTACACATTTCCCCTTCTTTATATTGTACAAAAATATATATTTATTGTACTCTCATCGCTGTTTGGTTATGGCATAAGATTTAAGGTAGAATAGTAAAGGTAATAAATAATATAGAAAAAGTAGGAGGTAATGTGAAAAACTAGGAAAGGGTAGATAAAAAGTAGAAAAAATAAGGGTAATTCAGTATTTTTAAAGAAAAAAATTACTAAAAAGGGAAAGTGTAGGGAATTTTTAAATACATCCCAAAATAGAAAGTGTAAGGAACTTTTGAATACGGAGGGAGTAATAAAGATCAAAACTACTTTCCCTCAAGATTTGGTTTTAAATAAGTCCCTTCATTGTGTTTGATCTTATATTTAAAGTTTGCAATTATACGGAGTATTGATATTTAAAACAAAGAGCTTCATACTTCATACGGATGTGAAGTGACTTTTAAAAAGGATGAAAGGGCATTTATGTCTAAAAATGGTGCGCCAAGCAAATTTAGGGGTGCATAAAGCAATACCCAAGTAAAAAAGGAAAATGCTAGGGGTACACAAGTTGTACACAACTTGTACACACAATGTCGGTCACAGACATTTGGTACGGAGTTGTCTGTGACCACAGACAAGAGTTATCTGCGTACACAGACAAATTTTGTCTGTTTTCACATACATTTACTTTTTTGTAAAAAGTACACTGAGAGCCGCCTGACACTGACAAGTACTTTTCATAAAAAAATAAATGTCTATGGAAACAGACAAAATTTGTCTGTGTAGACAGAGAACTCTTGTCTGTGGTCACAGGCAACTCCGTACCAAATGTCTGTGACCGACATTGTGTGTACAAGTTGTGTACAACTTGTGTACCCCTAGCATTTTCCAGTAAAAAATAGGAGTGATTTATATAGGGTGTACCGCTCGCCTGGGTGTAACCTACCTGTAGCCATTATTGTACTTTTTTACTTTCTTAAGCAAAGCCCATGTACAGAAGCAGCGCAAGCCAGTCGGATGTAATCACTCATCAGTGATTATCAGAACGACAAATCCGTTGAGATCTTTTCTTCTTCGTCACTGCCCTCACTCTTCAATTCCCCGGAAACACATTACTCTCTCTCAGACACATAAATTGCTACCCGCCGACCTCCTTTTCTCCGGCGACTTTCAGGTGACGCATTCCGCCGACTTAAGCTCTACTTCTTTCCCTCTGCCGACATAGGTGCTCGTTTTTTTGCAACTCACAATTAGCTAGATTATTTGTTTTTAAAGCTGGTGGTAGGAATTGAGGAACTCTCTCTAAATGCATGTGACAATATAATTTGTGAATCAATCACCTGTGAGGAAAACATAGGGTTTATGTCCTGAGAATTGCCTATATATATATATATTCTGCAAGACAATGACTGCGCGTGTAAGGAACCTGTATGGGAGGTCACATTTTGAAGATACAGATTATCTGTCCTACTTAGAAATCAAATACAGCAGCCCTGAAAGAGGAAGAAGCCCTGAAAGGAGTGACAGTCGTCCTGTTGACGATGACAATGATGATTTTGACCCTCAGTATGTCATGTTTTTAAATAACACTAAACAGAAAGGAATCAATTCATACCTGACCACACTTGAAGAGAACGGATTAGTCACATTTATTGACTATGAGAAGGAAGGGAGTTCTAGCGATGAGTGGGATGAAAATGGTAATCTGTCAAGCAAAGTGAAGAACAGGAAGCATGATTCAGAAGGTTCCAAGTTTGAGGAGGAGATCACGATCGACGGAGATTACGGAGATCATAAGCGTTATTTAGAAAAAGGAAACAATTCATATGTGTCTACACTTGAGGAGAACGGATTACTCACGTTTATTGACTATGAGAAGGAAGGGAGTTCTAGCGATGAGTCGGATGAAAATAATAATCTCTCAAGCAAAGTGAAGAACAGGAAGCATGATTCAGAAGGTTTCAAGTTTGAGGAGGAGATCACGATCGACGGAGATTACAAGCGTTATTTAAATATCAGATATGGCAGTCATCAAGAAGGCGATGCTGAAAGGGGATATAATTCAGACCATAATAAACATGATGCAAATGGCAATACAGATTATGACCCTGACTATGTCCTGTTTTTAAAAAGCACTAAAGAAAAAGGAAACAATTCATACGTGACCACACTTGAAGAGAACGGATTACTCACGTTTATTGACTATGAGAAGGAAGGGAGTTCTAGCGATGAGTGGGACGAAAATAATAGTCTCTCAAGCACAGTGAAGAACAGGGAGTATGATTCAGAAGGTTCCAAGTTTGAGGAGGTCATGATCGACGGAGATTACAAGCGTTATTTAGAAATCAGATATGGCAGTCATCAAGAAGGTGATGCTGAAAGGGGATATAATCCAGACCATAATAAAGATGACGCAAATGGCAATAAAGATTATGACCCTGACTATGTGATGTTTTTGAATAGTATTAAATGTGATGGGGTGTCTTATGCGACTGCATTTGAAGCTAATGGAGTGCGCACGTTCATAAACTATGAAAAAGAAGGGAACTGCAGCGCTGATCGAAATGACGATCTCACGTGTGCACTGAAGAAGGGGAGGAAAGGAGATAAAGTAGAAGGAAACTATTGGAAGAATGTGAAGGGGAAAATGTCAAATGGTGTGAAGAAGGGTGGCCTGGGAAGTTCTGATGTTCCAAACACCAAGGAGGATGAAATGGTCCAACCATTTACTCCCCTTCCTAAGGGAGAAAGAGCTATTCATAAGAACCAACAGAGGCGTATTACCCGGAGCAACTCAATCAAAATACAGAAAACTTCACAAACCATACCTGAAGAAAATTATGTAGATAAAGATTATGCTCTTCTCCTGCAAGCTATGAAACTGCACTGTGAAGGGAATGCATCGAAGACTGTGTCTCCAAATAAACATGCTGTTGAAAATGATTATGATGATTCTGGGGATGATGAGGTTGTTGAAATAGATTATTCCAAGTTCTCTAATGCAGGAAGATCTCATCCATTTTCCCCTCAAGTGCATTACTGTGAGGTTGTATATTTCTCCAATGGCAGATTTCTATTGTGTTCGTTTTCAGTTAATGGAAACTTTTTAAAATTTAGTGCCTTTTGTAATAATTTTCAGGCAGGAAACGCATTTGAGCCTGTGTACAAAGACGAGGACTCTGAATTTAGACAGAAGGTCATCACTTTCCTCAAGAGACCCTTTGACCAAACGGAATATGAAAAGCTTTTGCATGACGTCAAAGTCCAAAAACCAGTGGAAAGAAATTTGGAGTTACGGCATGGGAGAGATAAGTATTGCCCGTTAGATAGGAATGGAAAATCTTATCTTGACTATTTTGAAGGTAATTTTTTATGTTGTGCAAACATTTGTCCAGGGTTAAGTAATCGTCTTGATTGTATCTACCATATGGTTTGGGGGTGTCACTTTACTTCTCGGATGAAATAAACTTGACGGATTTTGTCATTTAATCATTGTCGTTAAGATCGTGAGTCAACTTGTAACTTGTAAGATCATTTGATCTAACGCGTAGAATGTACTCCATCTATCCAGGTTGTGCTTATAATAGGAAAGTAAGGTCAGATCTTTGAAATGTAGGTCCGAAGGGGAAAAAGAAAAGTTAAGCATGAAGCGTTGGCATCACAACGAAGTTTATGAAAAAGGAAAAAGAGAAAGAAGCAATCCATATAAACTTACATACGAAACAAAATAAAAGGAATGTTATTTTAGAAATAAGAAAAAATAAAAAAGAAATAGCAACTCATCAAGCACCACCAAGGTTTGTGTCGGAACTGCAAATTAACATTTCAGCATTCAACTCCAACCACTTCAATTAGTTCTATTGAAAAGTACTCCGTACTTTTCTTTGCCAATCTTCATACCTTTGTTTTTATTTGATTGTTTAAGTCATTTACTCTATATCCATGATGGTGTGTTATTTAGGAATGAACTAATAATTATTATTTTGAATGAATTATAAGAATTTTAACATTAATTTATCATTATTATTATTATTATATGGAGGTATTTATTATAAATTTTACATAATACCTAGTACCTACCTTTTACTCTAGGATCTTACGATCCATGAGTTATGATATTTTAAGTCCCTTTCTATCCGTTCTCTGGTCTCGAGTTTAACATCATTGGATGTAATGTTGAGGTTTTTGTTTTTTGAAATTGCTTTTTATCTTATTGATACTCGTTCTCTCCTCTTTTTCTACTAGTTTATATATGTACCCTTCTAATGCATCTTATGTCCTCGTTATGCTCTTATACTAAAATCTTTTGAGGAAGTTAATACCTTCATTAAAAATACATAATAAAAATGGACCTTGATGTGAAAATAGTGAACTACTTTTTTGGAAGATTTTAGATGTCTTCCTTGCTTGATGCATGTTATCTTTTCCTCCCGTCCATTTTTTTTCCTGATACCTTTTCCTGATAATGCAGATTTCAACAACAAATTTGAACAAGCAAGCTCTAACAAATATAAAACGTTGAACATCTTGCGCGGGTTTTTCTTTTGGCTACAGGTGAGTAGTTTTTCTTGTGGAACTCTGGTAATAGAATATGCACAGAATGAATCATTAAGAAAGTATGAAGTTAGCTTTTGCTTTTGTATGAGTCATCTCATATAAAAGTTTAGCATAAATCCAACACTTGAACTCCCCATTTGGGACTGCGCGTGTGTTGAGGAAAAAGCCTATTGTTTCTGTCCTCATTCCGTCCCGAACACATCATGGGTTATCCAAACGTTGATTTCAAACATTTGGAAATCATAATCACTTTTGGAGCCCGTTTGGAAGCACCAAAATCGGCTGTTTTGGCCGACTCTGCTGGAATGTATGAAGTTGTGGCTGAAGTGGTTTCATTGACTGATTCTGCTGATTTAAGAAAAAATTATTTTTAAAATATATTTTATCAATAAAATAAAGAAAAAATTATATGTAAAATAGCTAAAATGGTCATCTACAGTAACTTCAGAAAAGTAACTCCAATCTTACTTTTTCTGCTTATTACACAATTCAGTGCGCGAAAGCAAAAATTATATATTTTGTAAAAAAGTTGACTGATAAGTCTGATAAGCCGAAAAACAGTGTTGCCAAACGGCCTCTTGATTTCAAACATTTGGAAATCATAATCACTTTTGACAAACTTGTGTTTTGGAAAGAGGTTAAATATTTCCTTTGAAAACCTCAATGCCAAACAATTATAACCTTTAAAATACATTCTCACTGCAATTTTCAACAAACTTTTTCAATTGCAACCTGAATACCGAATTAGGCAGAAGAATTGGCAACTAATGCTTAAAAGTCGGTTCATTTTTTGCAGAATATTACTCAGGAAGGAGCATTCAAGCCTTGGAACGATCCCACATGTCTTGCCGTTATTCCTGGATTTGGCTAGATGTTTCACCCTTAACGTATAAATATTTGCGAGGAAAATGTCGAGTGGCCTTGAAACTGCAAAAGGCTATTCCTTGTTATCCCACGCTCCTGTAGTCTTGTGTATCTGTAAAAAAAGCAATAAAACTAATATGGCCCAAATCGGTGTTGATAAGCATTTGCAGCTATTTCATCCATCGTGTTTGGCTTTTTGTTAAGGAATTTTATCAATTCGGTCGGACAAATATGGACCAACACTTGGTATCAACAAATTTAAGTAATAATAATATATATATTGCTACGTAATAAGTACGGAGTATTATTATATAAAATATAAATTAACTATTTGAATCTTTGGCCTTAGTATTTAACTGACAAAGGTGACCATGTTGAAGTTTTCTATTAAATGCTTTGGGAGTGTTTGCAATTGTTTTTGTTTTTAAAAAAATTACCTTTGTGATTTTGGAAAAGGTGCTTCATAGTTCACAGTAAAAGTTGAAACGTAAAAGTTGGTAGTGTTTGGTAAATAGATGTTTTTTGTACGGAGTATAATAGAAAAATTAAAAAGTAGATTTCAGCTTTTAGGTTAAAAGTATTTAATGTAAGTACAAGTTGTCACTTGAAAACATTTTTTTCAACTTTTTTAAGACAAAAACTCTAAATCACTTAATTTTAATTTTTTGCAAACATACCCTTAGAAACTTTTTAATTAGCTTAATATGTACAAATGATCCAATCATTCATTCTACATTGATTTGATATACATTATTAACATTGATTTCATATACATTATTCACCTGACAAAAAATATAAGAAGTATTTTCGAAACTTATGGATCCAATGCGAAATAACAATAAACCATTTGATTCCCAACACATTCAATAATTTATCTCTAAAACTTCGAAGTGGTGTTTATTATTTCACGTTATATATTTCCACTTTGAAAAATATAGATTATTAGTCTAATTTATCCACAACTATTATCAAATTCACAAATCTATCTTACTCTTTAACTTTTTTAAAAAAGACTCAAATTTCAACTTTTCTCACATTTACATTTTCGAATGATTAATTATAAAATATTAATATACAAATACTTATTTCTATTTCATTTTATTCATTTCTTTCTAACTTTTAGTTGGAAAATTCGCATTACTTAATTTTTTATATATAAAACCATATTTGTACTATATAATAAATTGCATTATAGTGCATAAAATATGAAAGACAACTAGAAAGGTAAAAAATAGTTCAAAGTTTCCTTGGTAAGAGATGATTTTATTAAGCAATAAATATTAGTCATTGAATTACTTTAGCAACTTCTATAAAAACACAAATATATGGAGTATTTAATTCACTGACAAGTTAGAATATCATTTTATATTAATTTTATCATTTTTTTTTTGAAAATTTTAAGTTCCAGATTATACAAGATTTATATTTTAAGATTTGATTAAAGTTCTTGTTAATTCGTGGGATAAATACAATAAAATAATTAATAAAAATTAAATAGTTTAATTCAAGTATATAAAAGTATTGAGATTGAGTTAAATTTGTAATTTTGAAAAATCACAAAATTAATAAAAGATGAAGTTTGAGTCCTTTCTTAATCAAAGTTATGAATATTAGATTTGTGAATATCACGATAATTACGAATATAATACGCAAATAATACTTTAAAGAAATAATTGCATAAATATGACCAAAATAAACATGTATATTTGAATAGATGTTGTGACATTTGAATGTTTCAATTTGTACACCTAAACACGGGTATAAATATATTTTTTAGTGGTGTCAATTAGTCTAGCTCCGCCAATTGGTATAAGTTTCATTCAACTATTTAACTCAAGGTTTAACGCACTAAACTCTGTGATATAGAAATTCAACACAGAACCCCTTTATGAAGAAATTTAACAATTTGGAAATCATTTTTTAATATTATAATTTAATATGCATAATCATAAAACGGGTTATGATTTGTTAAAATCTTTAGGTTATACAAAAATGCTAATCATTTTACTTTTTTTATAATTAATTCGTTCGTAGAAGAGGTTCTGCGCATGAATAATTATAGCACAATGAAGTTTGACGCATATTTTAAATGTGAAGAGATACATAGATAAGATTTGAACTCCCTTGGTCAATACAAGTAAAAATAAGATTGGACTCGCTAAGAATAACCAATAATATTATTTTGTCTTGATTCAAATGACAAGTTGATAAAAAAGCTCAACCAAACCTTGACCTAATCCTAAAACCTAGACCTAAATTTTATCATTTTTGTTTGAAAATTTTAAGTTCTAGATTATACAAGATTTATATTTTAAGATTTGATTAAAGTTCTTACTATTTCATGGGATAAATACAATAAAATAATTAATAAAAATTAAATAGTTTAATTCAAGTATATAAAAGTATGGAGATTGAGTTAAATTTGTAATTTTGAAAAATCACAAAATTAATAAAAGATGAAGTTTGAGCACTTTCTTAATCAAAGTTATGAATATTAGATTTGTGAATATCACAATAATTACATAAATGTACACGTAAACACGTATATTTGAACAGATGTGGTGACATTTGAATGTTTCAATTTGTACACGTAAACACGGGTATAAATATATTTTTTAGTGGTGTCAATTAGCCTAGCTCCGCCCATGGGTATAAGTATCATTCAACTATTTAACTCAAGGTTTAACGTACTAAACTCTTGGTGATATAGAAATTCAACGTAGAACCCCTTTATGAAGAAATTTAACAATTTCGAAATCATTTTTTAATATTATGATTTAATATGCATAATCATAAAACGGGTTATGATTTGTTAAAATCTTTAGGTTATACAAAAATGCTAATCATTTTACTTTTTTTTTTGATAATTAATTCATTCATAGAAGGGGTTCTGCGCATGAATAATTACAGCACAAAGAAGTTTGACGCATATTTTAAATTTTTAAATTGGAAGAGATACATAGATACCCTCGACACATTTGAATTTTGAACTCCCTCGGTCAATACAAGTAAAAATAAGATTGGACTCGCTAAGAATGACCAATAATATTGTTTTGTCTTGATTCAAATGACAAGTTGATAAAAAAGCTCAACCAAACCTTGACCTAATCCTAAAACCTAGACCTAAATACTAACTAAACCTACCTACAATTCTACAAACAAAACAATTGTTCTGAAAACTAAACCTAAAATACAAATAAACTAAAGCCTTCACTTGCAACAATGAGACTCTTCTGAAACATAACTTGTGCTCAACTCACTCGGGCTGTCAATAGATGAATCTCTCGTTCTGTTCCTCCCCTGATTGAGTAACCGAATGGGCTTGATAAGCTCATCAAAATCAGCTATTTGAGAAAAAGGTGAGCAGACACCGCCCTCCCTCTCACATGTTTCCTCATTAACCTGATCAATAATCAGCATATCTTCACCTTCCTTAACACTGTCAACAACACCTAAGCTAATATACTCAACGGACCTCCCTTGTTTGAAAAAAGAATCTCCTTCATCACCCTCCACAGAAGACTTGCCTGATAAGGCTTGTACACACTCGGTGAGATCAATATGTGGAGAACCAAAATAACGACCCCGGTCGTTCTTCTTTTCATTGGAAGAAGCTCCTCTCCATTTTCTTCTCTTACTTTTGATTTTCGGGTGGTGAAGTTTGCACTTGGAACCTTGAGGGCAATCTCCAGTTGCTTCAAAACTAGGGCACACATAACTGTGTTTCCTCTGGCACTGCAAAGTTTAGACATACAATCCATTTCACGGGTTATAGTATTAGTGAGGTTGTGTGTTTCTGTGAAAGGACACACACACACACAATGTGTGCACATAAAGATAAATAGGGAGGTCATAGGCAGTGGAAGAGGAAGAGAGGATGGAGAGAGCAGAGTGATTTGCAGGTGGCAGTCCTTGTAAACAACTTCATCTACCACATTGGAGAAAGAGTTGAAACAAAAGAAATTGAACAGTTATCATAGAACTAAGATAACGGAAGCAATCAAGTGTCTAAAAACCAACATATAAAAATGAGACCAGGTGACTGCTTAATTCTTGTGTACAGCTGAACTTGAAGTGTATTAACTACCAGCAAGATGATACACACAGGAATATACGATAGTCCACCACTGCACCACACCCATAATCCCCCCCCCCTCCCTCTTTTTGCATGCTTAAAGAAAAGAAAATCATTTGGTTGATGTTTATTTGAAAAAGAAGGGAACAACACCAACAATTCTTTACTTAATGAAAAGAGGAAATTTTGTAAGAACCCAAAATGGAAAGCATGAAGAAAACCATGGGATGGAGGGAGTAATGGATGTATACAGCCCAATTTTTAATCTACGAATCATTATCATCTTAATATGAAAACGCTAGCTTTAGGATTAGTTAAACAAATAAAATCCCTTCAATAACTCTATTTTCTCCCAAACCGCCCTGATGAAATACATTGTTAACCATTTTTAGGGGGAATTTGACTTTGCACCCCACATTTTGGATGATATTGGACTTTGCACCCCATTTTTAAAAAACTTTGATTTTGCACCCCATTTTACTTCAAAATCCTTTGACTTTGCACCTCATTAAGAAATTTTCCTTCACAAATATCATATGATAGGGTGCAAAGTCAAAGTTGTTTTTAAAATGGGGTGCAAAATCCAATATCACCCAAAAAGTGGGGTGAAAAATCAAATTCTCCCATTTGTACTATGATATTTTGGCAAAATTTCATCCCCTTTTCCACCTATATTCTTCACTCTGTCCATCATCAAGACCTAAACTGATAAAATGACCATGTTATACAATATGTAGAAGTCAATATGTAGCTGGAAACAGAAATTAAACAAAAATACCTCATCTCCGTCAGAACAGTAACCCCTGAGAAAACCTTCACAGACAGATGAATTGGGATTCACATTTACGTGTCTATAAGGACAATTCTCATTAGAGCATAATCCTGTCAAAATTACTTGTTAGTAAATATTACGACCTTATTGATTTAATATAATTCCAAGTTGTAATGATGCAATACATACCTTGCTGAAAATAAGAGCAGTCTTGCATTCTCTCAGGAATGACCTATGTATGGAGCACCCGTCAAAAAAATATTCAACAATATCTATATACTACCTCCGTCCCATTTTATGTGTCTTATTTGGTTTTGGCACAATTTTTAATGAAGTGGTTGAAAAGGTAAAAGTTGTGGTTGAGATTTGAGTATAGTAAAGTGAAATGTTGTGAACCACATGTTTCTTTCCAAAAAGGGAAAGGTGACACTTATTTTGGGACAACCCAAAAAGGAAAGTAAGACAGGTAAAATGGGACGGAGGGAGTATAATATTTCTATATATAGTGTGTATATGTGAATTTATAATATTTTTATTCATATTACTACCTCCGTCCCACTAACATTGGAACACGAGGAGGTGACACAGTTATTGAGAAAAGTGGTTTTATGTGGTTGGTACTAAATTGATAAAGTAAGAATAAAGTAAAAATGATTTAAAACCACACAAACTTTACCAAATTTGGTATGACACAATTTTAGTAGGACGGACTGAAAAGGAAAGATGGGACAATCGTAGCGGGATGGAGGGAGTATGTATGTATGTATACATGTGAACATTTAAAAAAAAATGAAGGCAGTACAGCAAAAACCCAAAAAAATTAAATCAGCTACCGGATGTTCATACTGGTCTGAACACTAGATTACCTTATGGGTTAACTTGCAATCAGGATTGGAGCATGAACCACTCAAAAACTTGGTGCACACTGCGATTTTAGAGGGGTCATGGATGTAAGGACATTTTCTATTATCCTTGTTACATTTACCAAACCTGGTGAAAAATTGGCAATATGTGCTCTTCTTAGCCAGCCGCAACCTAGCAGTGTGCAAGCTCCAACGAACTTTCTGATTTGCCAAGATGCGGACTCTTCTTTTTGGATTTCTGACTAACTTATTACCACTTCCAAGACGTACATATCTACAAAACAGTCCAATGAAAAGGAACAACCCAAATATAAAGCAGAAATAAACACAGCAGCAGCAGCAGCATGATATGCGCCAACCTTTTTTACTCGAATAAATACCATTCAAAAGAATGCTGATAAGTAAATGAAAAGTGAATATAATTCGTTTGTACATCTTTTTTTAGATTTGAGTGATGCAACCAATTAATCATAGAAAAGCAGACATGCCTTGATTAAGGAAGACAAGTTATGCACGTATTTTACAGTAAAAAGTTTAAAGAGTGGATTTTTAAGTATACTTACTCATCATTGCCAATCAGCAATCTCCTTGGAATATATGATGTCTTTGCATTACTCTCTGGTCGAACAATACTCTCTTCTGGTTCTTCATCTGTAAACAGAGCGGGGGGTCTATATTTATACAAATTCTCTACAGCAATGTACTCCAACCCATAAAAGAGGAACAACGATGAATTTAAAATCAACATAAGTTTTACATGTGCACTGCAGTACAGTGTTTCCAATGCTTCAATGGTGTGAGGCAGAAAGGGGTTTACACAATTCAGTTCCTTATCGAGAACCCCATCCCTACTCCCGTGTTGAATTCATTACTTCTATTCTGAAATCTTTTCTACTGTTTTTATCTTACACAGTACCAAACCACTTTAACTCATACCTTTTCTCACTATTTTCAATCTATTTATCGAGAACCAAACAGCCTTATACATTTTTATCTATTTCTCACGTTATCTTCCTTGCTTTTCTCACTTGCATACTTTCCCTCATTATTTCTTCTATCCCTACCAAATACAGCCTAAAGTACACGTCATATATGACGTCTAATAGCACATTAGCACCTAGCCAGAGAAATAAGAGAAAACACAATTTAATAGGACTCTTTCATGCTGTGAAATAAAATATATAATGAAATGGGGAAGTGCCAGTGAGTGGGGGAGGGGGGAGAGAACATATTCAGTAAATCAGGATCAGACCACTTGATATCCTTTGAAGTGTTTTCCCTGACGGATCCATTTTGTAACGTTCTGAACCAATACGGAAGATCCGCTCTCCTGTGAATTGTGCAGATACGGTTACATAAACATTCAGCAAATAACATCCAGATAGTGCACATTAACATAAATGGGAAGAGAAAAAGTATTAGCATGCAAAGAAGTTTACAGAACAAAAATTTAAATACCCAGAAAAACAAGTTGCAAGCAATATGATATAAAGGTACTTTTGCTATAACAACTAACAAGTAACTATATACGCAGTTACGCACAGAATTTAGCATGCCCATAACTGTTTCATCTTAAATCTAACAGTTGAGATTCAGTCCCTGTGAATGGGTACTTTTCTGGGTATATATAAACACGCACATGTCATTATGTCAGAACAAGAATTGAGGGCATCATTACCTGGAAGAAGTGTAACGTTATAAGACTTACGGGAAACACTATGTCTGCTCTTCGAATTAGCAGTGGCAATAATGTTTTGTCCCCTTTTCCTCTTCTCTGCAGCAGCAACAGCTGATGTAGCTTCCTGTGGATAATTTGAGAAGAAACTATAACATGAGTTCTAAACAACTAGAAGTAGACAACAGCTTCTTTGGCCTCTTTAATACCCATTTAAAAATGCCTTAGATAATGCTGCTAGCCAACCTGATCAGCTTTTTTTGAGTTCCTCTCAATAGATTTTGACCACTTCAAGCTTTTGCCACCAACACTTAAAACTTTGGACCTTCGCAGAGAATGTCCATTAGCCGATCTAGTGTAAACGGTATGTCTCTTTCTTGAGAGCAGCAGCTTGCGACTAAAATAGAAAACATATACTAATTTCAATACTCTACCAGGGTGGAAAATGGAACAAAAGCAAAACATGAAAAATTGACATCCTTCCAACCTGATTGTAGACATAGTACCAACATTCTGAACAGAGGTTAAACCATGAGTGAAACTCCTCAAATTTGTATACCTTTTCCACGAACACCAGTAGGGCTGGACTTTATGATTAATAGTTATAGGTTTACCATCTCCCTTTGATGATTTTGAACCACTTAATGTCCATACTAATGAGAACTTGGAACTTTTATATGCATCTGGTGAACCTGCACAGAGGATTCTGCCTCAATGAGTTCTTATGCAGTAAGAAACAAGTTACCTAAGGGGCCAAATTATAATTTAGAAAAGAAAATCTGTTTACACATAAAATGAAAACAGTGTTTTATGAAGGAACATCTTCAAGGATAGTACTCAAGGAGTTCTGAATTAACATCTTCAAGGAGTTCTGAACTCCCTTTCATAATATAAACATGACTTGACTAATATTAACTGTACTTGACTATCCCAAATAATGCTCAATTTCATAATATGAACATGACTAACTTTTTAGTTTTCCTAATCCACCCATTCTCTTAACTTTGTAAATCACTTGACACAGTAACTCTGCTTCAGAGACAATTTTGAGAAGTAAAAATTACATTTTAGTTGTTTTTATTGAAAACTGTTCAAGAGAAAATGGTTCTATAATATGGTTTTTTTTTTGTGTGTGTGTGGGGGGGGGGGGGGGTTGCAAACACATCCTTACCAGAACGCTTCTTGAGGACAGCCTTCTCAGCCCCCTGCCTATCTGGGTTTATGCTATCACCAATCGCAGCAACTTTCGGGTTGCCATGGTTTTCAGTAATTGTTCGAACCAGCTGATTATTTCTCATTTTATAATAGCCATCAGAAGATGATGTTGGGGTTGCATCTGGAGCTGCAACAAGCTGGTGTGATCTTTGCTCAGAATAAAATGTCACTTCTCTCGACTTCCCTTCACCTGATGTGTTCTCACTCTCTAATTTGTTGATTGGATCGGATTGACACTGAAATATTTTGATAGCATCTTCAGAATGTCTATGCACACTTGTTACACCTGTCACTAATTCTATACCAAGACTGCAACTCCCAGACTTATCCACTCCCGGCAAAGATGCTGGGTTGCCTAAGATGTTACCAGTTGAATGTAACAATTCGCAGTTGAGACTCTGAGGAAAAGCATTATTGGGCTCGAAGGGTTTCAAGCAACTTGATTGATCAGAAATTTCTACCACATTACCACTTTTGAGCTTCTTAGCATCCTTTACATTTGAAGAGCTCAATCTATAAACAGAAGAACTAGAAGCATGGAATCCAGGTGCCACATTGCCAACATATGAAGAATTTCTTACAAGAGTATTACCCTTGCGGATGTAAGAATTACGGATGCCTGTAACCTCATTCTGTCTTTGGTTCTGTGGGCGAATAGAGGTCACTTGAGGAGCAAAGCATGGAGCGGATGAGGAATTACTAGTTCGATGCCAAGTCCGTGACTTTGCAGCATGTTTTGATATTTCAGGTTTCTTTGACGTCATAAAGCTTACAGCTGAACTACTACAGGAACCCCTGACGACCACAGAGCTCATCTTGCTCTTTTTAAAATTTGATTTACTTGGCACATATTTCAAAGTTTGCAGTGGTTCACAAGCATCTGGCACGGAAGATGGCCTCCTAGATATTATTGGTAGGTTGCCACTGACTGGGCACAAAGGTGGTCTTTGACAGATAAAGGTATTCGTTGATAGGTTTTCATTAACTGCATCACTATCAGCTTTAGATTTATCTGCAGAGATTTTGACAGATAAAGGTATTGTATCACCCGTGGAAACCGAAGCTTCACTCGGATTTTGGTTTACTTGAGAGACAACTCCATTTGATATTTGACAAGATATTTCCACACTGATGTTTGAGGCAGGTAAACCATCATGGCATTCACTATCTCCTTTAGTTGGTACCATATCATCCAATGATGTAAGCCCACATATCCTACTCGCCCTATCCAGTGTACCATTTTGATCACTGCTCCTTGAAACAGCTGCAGTAGCTTCTGTTTCACTAGCTAGCTTATGGGATGGGATAGATGGAACATGCTCTAGGTCTGACAAAACCTCTGAAGGGCCAACCTGGGTAGACTCAGACTGAAATGATCCTCTGGTAGTACTCTTCTCATTTGAATTGTCCATTGGCCTTGCACAAGGTGGCAGAGCAGCACAACAATTTTCTACTGCTTGAGACAATGTGTGTGTTATAGCATTGCCATCATTGGAAAGCCCTTGTGCTGACATATTAGCTTCATCGATCACTTCAAGAGACTCATAAAGAATAGAGTGACCCAATGTAGGGGAGGAGATCTTCCTTTTCTTCAAATTCCGAGGAGATTTTACAATTGAACTAGTTTCAAGATCCCCTCGAACTGAAAGATCATTCTCTGGACACTCTTGAAGTGACTGGCCTCCATCTAAAGAGCAATCTCCATTTCCAGGAGCCTTAACATTGCTTTCATTAAAGGCATGATTCATACCCAAACTCAAAGACCTACAAGGGTCCTCACTTGTCCTCAGACAGGAGGATTTCGACAGCATCTCACTTACTTTCCTCTTTATTTTCATCTCAGGTGAATATTCCTTGCCCAGACAAGGGTCGTGATGATCCTCAACACAAAGCAATGGAACAGGATAGGCATCATGATGGGGACCGCTTACTCTATCAATAATATTAGGGAAACAACTTCCAGGAAGAGCTTTATCGTCCGTACAAGGACAATCATTATCAGAAATCACCCTGCTACTGGAGCTCGGATTGGAGCTACTCGCACTTGAGAACCCTTCCTCCTTATTTGGTGAACCCACATTACTAACATCTCTGACCAACAAATCACTGTCCGGAGGCCTGTTGGATATTGCATCTGTGTGAGGAACAGTCAAAGTATTATCAAAGAGTTGCTCAGAACCTGCATACAAAGATCCCCCCTCAGCAACAATGTTTTCAGTCCTTTCAGCACATGCATCTTCAGTTGAAGAGCGTATGCAACTGCCATCCTTGTGAATAATAGGTTCATCAGAGCATGAGGAGTGTGCATGAACAATATTTCCCATTGAAAGCATATGCCCATTCGAATCTAGAACAAGATTTGTTTTAAGCATTGAAGCATGATTCTGAAAATGCTGCCCTTTAGTTTCATTGTCAATAATTGAACTAGTGAGTCTCTTCTGTGGTTCAATTATGCATGTCTCAGAATCAAGCAGATGACAGCTTTCAAGCAATTTGCTCTCAGGAAAAGTATGCTCTTTAATTTCAGGGTCCACCGGGCTCTCAGAAACAGAGATCACAGACAAACAGTTCCTTTTTCTCTTTGACTTAAATAGGCTACAAGAGTCATTTTTAGAAGCATCTGAACCAGAGACAACATGTTCTAGAGGTTCATAGATCTTGTCAATGGCTAGTTCTTCAGTCAAATGATGTGTTGAAAAAGACTCTCGCACTTCTTTCATACCATCAGACACAATTCTCTCATCTGCACATAAGGAATCCCCATTCAATTCAGAGACTGACAACTTATCTACAGATATGTCCGCACCAATAACCAGATTAGGACTATCCCTTTTATCCAGAAAACTATTTTTCTTCTTGACAGAGGCCATAACTTTCTTCTTGTATCGATTTTTTCGTAAAGGTGTTTTATCATTTTGAACACCATATGTGACCTGATCATGTACCTGTTCCTTAGAAGGAGTACATGTATTGCTGGCAGTTTCCTTCTCACTGCCAGAAGGCCCAGAACTTAATGGACAATCTAACCCATTTGCTGAATTTTCAAACTTTCCCAAATTTTCACTCAGCTTTGACTGTGCAGTGTCAGGCATCTTAAGTCTCCTAATCTTCCGAGCTCTAGGAGTACCATTTTTTCCTGTATCAACTACTGGGCTTGAGGGAGCCACAATAGCCTTCGCCACAAGTGCATTAGATTTAAATGAAACATCAAGTTCCACTGGACTGTTCTCCCTCTCCTCCTCTCTTTTCCCAGACCGTGCAATGCCTTCTCTCAAATTTCCCCTTGAGCCAGCTACACTTGAATTATCAGCATACCCATTAGAGAAATGGCAGTCTTGATTTCTAGTCCTATGGTTAACCTTTCCTAATGGAGTTGTATGGGGTGCACTCCTTTTCTGTGCGTTCTTCTTCCTAGGTGACCTATGCAACTCTTCTATACCATCTCTTACCCTATTGCTAAGCCTTTTGTGGTCAAAAGCATAACCATTATCTGAGGATAACCTTCTTCTGGACGAGGAGTCCATAACATCAGTAACATCTTCATAGCCCCACCTGAGGTCTTCTCTGTCGTCCCTAATATCAAGTCTATGTTGGATTGGTCTCTCCGTATTGAATCTGAACACATCAACATTATCAAGCTCTGTATCTTGACGGCCCCAAATCCTTTCTTGGTCGCCTCTGAACCCATTCTTCGGGATAAAAAACTCATCCCTCACGAACCCATAATCATCATTCTGATCATTGAGGGGCAGCAAAAAAGGGGGTTGGTGGTGACGAGGGGGTTGATGAAGTGGCAGCCTAGGGCCAACATCGGCCCAAGGATCTGGGGTTCGCATGGGGTGTGGTGTCGGTGAGGAATCGCGATTCAGAATATAATCCAAGAATTGGGGGTTTTCAGGATGGGGAATAGAATGGAATGGAAGGGTGTAGGGAGGGAGGGGGTGATGGTAATGGTGAGATGGAGGCAGCGGCGGGTGGAGGTTGGGGTGAGGCGGCGGGGGGTGGCGGGGGGTGGTGAAAGCAATTAGGGGAATCGGGAAAGCTGGGAGGGCGGTGAACGTACCTTTGTTGGTGGTTGTGGAAAGGCTCCATTCCGTAAGTCAACTTTATCGGCAGATCTGAAGACTTGTGTGGAGAAGACGATGAAACAAACAAACGCAGGCGGTATTAAACGACGAACTCTGGCGCGCCGGTGGAATCCTCTTTCATACGGAGAATATGGGGCTATCTGTTCGGGAAGAATACAAAACGGCAGAATGTTAAAAATTGCAGCTATCTATCGTGGTTTTGACTGCGTCATTATTGCCCTAATATTGAATTGCGGTTACGAGGCCGCCACATACGGGATCTCACTGGCAACGTTCACATTGATTTTCTATGATTCTGTTTCTTTTTTGTTTCCAAAAAAATAGCGTTTTCACTTTTCGACAAAGTTTTTTTACAACTAAAACGGAGTTTTTGTGTCTTCCCATTTTTAGTAATCGTGATTAAAATGTCAAAGAGGATTATGGAGTTCCCTATTACTATTGGAGTGCAGGAAGGATCGGCTTTGTGCCCTTTCTTATTTGTCAGATGAACTTACAAAGTCAATTCAAGACGATATACCGTGGTGTATGATGTTTGACGATGATATTTTATTGACTGATGAGACGCAATCAGGGGTTAAAGCAAAGTTGGAAGTATGATGACAAACATTGGAGAACAAGGGTTTTAGACTAAGTCGGGGGAAGATAGAGTAAGTTTGGTGGAGGTAGAAACAGTGGTAATAGCGGAATTACTCTAGATGGTAAGGAGATACCGGTCAGCGATATGTTCCGTTACTTGGGCTCTGATAGCCGTTACATTTACTCGTGTTTAACATAAGTATTTATAAGTATTTGTTGAAGAAAAGAAGAGAAATAAGACAAATATCTTCAGAATGAGAGCTAAAATATGGGTTAATTGCACCACATCCCTCTGTGATACTTTTATTGTGCACATTACACCTATGTGTTATAAAAAATGCATGACAGCCCTTTGTGTTTTAAAAAGCTAAGCAGATTATCCCTTAAAGTGTTAAAGCTAACATCAGTGCACTACACGCGCAGCTGCTGTGATTTTTGGTCAAAGTTTCTCATTCTTAAGTAGCAAAATGACAAATTCACCCTTTTGTATCTATAAAAGAAAGATACTCTGTAATATCTTTTACTTATAATTCATTGCCTCATTTCTTAACAAGCTCAATCTGCAACATTTATTCTTTTGTTTGACATAATTTTAATATTTACACATGCACCCTTTTAAAGTACTTTTATTTTTTTTCAGAGAATCCGTAATGATATTTTGCTTCTAAAATGAAATATTCCGTAGAAACTAGCTAAGTGGTTATTAATACATTGGACTAAATACCAACCATACGGCAACATACTGCAGTTTAAACACTTAAAAATCAATCTACTGCAAGTTGTTATTAAAAACAAAATTTAAGTAACTAAAAATCAACTTCCACGACAGATTAAACAAGTACTCCGTAATAATAAACAACTTTAATATTTTAAAACCACACAAGTTATACTGGCGACCCACTAAAAAATACAGCATAACAAGCAGCGGCCTTAACATAAAAAAGTTAGCCAAATTATAAGACATGCACAAACAAAACCAGCAACAACCTAATTAAAAATTGAAAATCCAGCCAAGTTATAAGGCCACCAAGGCTGCAAAAACACAATATATAGTAGGTTTGCACTTTCACAAGTTTTCAAGAGTTTAAGCAAAAATTTCACACTTACCAGAATGAATAATTGTTATATTCGAGTAACACATACTACTACCATACTCAAAGATCATAAGTGCAAGCCTATTTGTTTATACTTCAAGCTTGTTCTTTAGCTTTGAGATGAACTGGTCCAATCACATGGATTTGGCTGCTTTGTTGGTTCTGCTTTTGAACTTGATATTTGAGTAGGATTCATCAGTCCATATCCTATAATATCATGTATGGTCAAAAAATGTAAAAGTGGAATTAAGTAAGTTGAATAAAATTGTTACGAAAAATAAAACAAAAACATGTAAAGATTGTACCCAATAGGAAGCATTTTGAAAGCTGTCCATATCAAAATTTGACACCATTGAAACAAGCATGTCATGATCAACTTGTTTCGAGCCACCAACTTCTGCATAAGCTTGAGACTGTTCTCTAGGTTCATTTTCACATTGTTTTCTTGATTCATGTGTGATTTTTTTGGGACAAGTTCTCTTATTGTGACCAAGAATACCACAAATCTTACATGTATGTGTCAGTCCCTTCCTAGAAGCTTTTGAATGGTTTGTATCATTGCCATCAGCTCTTCATTTCTTTATTGGCCTGCCTTTTCTTGCTTTAACATCTGGGGCTGCAACCTCACCCTTACGACTATCTTCAAAGTCATGCATACCAGGAACTGGATTGATCATATGTTCATATACTCTTAAATACGTGTCTTTTTTAAAGTACTCGTGTATATAGTCTTCAACATTGACTCGATGGTAGGAGATGCAAGCCAAAGCATGGCAACAAGGATACCAACACAACTGAAAATACCCACACGTACAAAACTGGTCTTTAAGATGAACAAAGCTTGGTCTCTGGACGAAAGAGTAGCAAAGCGTGGTGATTCTTATTAGTGGGGGCCAGCTGCTAGCCTGCTAATCCAACCTTGGGACATTCATCTCCTTCGAATCAGGATGGAGGATATTCGACAACAAGCCCTACTCAGTGTTAATACTTCGGGAAATTCGAAGGATGGTTAAAGCGTAGAAGATAATAAGGATACAATCGGATATTTATGAAAAACTAACGGTGTTACTCTTTTACCGTGAAATAAGCAGGTGAGCATGTTTTTTAAAAACATGAGGGGCTTTCGTGCATTTATAATAACACAGGGGTATACCACGCAACATTTAAATATCACACAGGGGTTTCATGCCTTAAACCTGCTAAAATATAAAACATTGTGATGAACGGGTTTTGAGACCACGAGAATGACGTTCTGCCCGTAATTTGAGTATAACTTATTGTAGAGAACTCGAAATCACTCGATTCGAGTTTCATGTGAATGTTAACTCAATAAGATACAAATGTTATGAAGGCGTAATGGCCAAAATATGAAAGGAACAAGACTCAATCAAACAATAAAGTCAGATGTTGCTGGTGGGATTTCAGGATGCATACCTCTCAGTGTTTTATTCATATCTTTTGATTGGATGAATAAAATCACATCATTCAAGTTTTGGTGGGTAGAAGACTTCATTATCTACAACTTTGGTGAAGGAAATATGTCCAAATTCATAGCGGAACATCCCCAGAATCCCAGGACAAAAACCAACACTTTTTGATCCATAAAAGAGAAAGAGAAAGGGAGTACAGTTTTTGGTGTAGCAACCAGCGCTGGTCAGCCACAACCAGCACCGGTCAGGTGGTATTTTTTGAGCATAATAGGGCCTGTTATTGAACCAGCGTCGTTCGGGACAAAACCGGCGCCGGTTGGGCCAATTTCTGCACAAAACAGTCCGACGTGCAAGCCATTTCTTGATGGAAAAACTTCATCTTCCTCAGTGGTGATCAAATATTGTCTCCATACCTTATTGTTGGGCTTGAATAGACTAAAATATGACATTCTTTAGCCTATATAAATCCCTCAATTCATCAATCAAACACATTCCATTCCATAGATTAATTCCTAGTTTTTATAATTTGTTCTTGCTATTTTTCTTCAAGTTCTTGAGGAGGAAACATCAACCTCCGAAATCATTGGTGTTGAGGTATTATTTCCTTTTTAATTTAATGTTCCATTACATATCTATATTATATTGTGATTAATATGAGCATTAGAGGCTAATTTCTTAGCTAAGGCTAGGGATGAACCTCTATGCACATTAGGTGTTTGATAAAAGTTCTAAACCAATAAATTGTGATTCATCCTTTATATTTTGATTGTTTATGACTGTGGTGTACAACATAGAAGTATGTTAAATTTAGTTTATGCTTGAAATTAACGTTGAAGTCTAAACTATGAACATTAAAGGATAAACATATATAGTAACGAGAGTAGAAATATATCTGGTCTTATATGATACGGGTGTGATGTCTTGATATTCAACGGGATTTTCGGTAGATGAATGTAAGTCGTAACGGGACTTACACGTAACGAAAACCACGTTCTCACTACCTTAACCGGAGTTGATAATATATTGGCGATATCGTATTCATAATTATTGGGAAAGAACTATTATTAAATAACTATTAAAGCATTTAGGTGAATCCTGATTGTCTTAGTAATTCTCATTCTTGTTTAATCAACCTCAAAGAACAAAGTTCATGAAAAACCATACCATTTATATTCGGCTAAAGGGTCAAATAGGTACATGAACTAACTTAAAGTGTTCAATTAGCCCCTTATATAAGAGGTTCTGCCCGGCCGTCGCCAATTGGGGCGTTTCCCGGTGGAATTTTTTGATGAAATTTTTTGAGCATCTTCTTCATTAAGTCTAGTTTATCCATACCAAATTTCAGCTAAAAATTCAACCGGGAAGGCAGTCAAATGATTTTTTGAAGATAACTGCGCAGGTAAACAACGCAGTACATTTTGGAAAATCATTTGACTGTCTTCCCCATTTAATTTTTAGCTGAAATTTGATATGAGTAAACTATACTTAATGAAGAAGATTCTCAAAAAATTTCTTCAAAAAATTCCACCGGGAACCGCCTCAATTGGCGACGGCCGGGCAGAACCTCCTATATAAGGGGCTAATTGAACACTTTAAGTTAGTTCATGTACCTATTTGACCCTTTAGCCTTTATATTCTTTTGCATTCAATACTCGACTTTATAATATCAACCATTTCCCTATGGATCGACCCGATATTTACCGGTATTTTATTACTATATCGGCACTTGTATACTTGCAAGTTTAGCCCGATCAGGCTCCATAATTCAGAAGGATGGTGAGTTAGATGGAGATGTATCCCATAGAATCAGAACAGAGTGGATGAAGTGGAAGAGTGCGTCAGGATTTCTATGCGATCGAGGTATGCCGACTAGACTGAAGGGTAAATTTTATAGGACAACAATTAGGCCGGCATTATTGTATGGTACGGAGTGTTGGGTGGTGAAACAATGTCACATTCAAAAGATGAGTGTGGCAGAGATGTGCATGCTGCGTTGGATGTGTGGGCTGACGAGCACTTTGTCGTAGTGTGCCTCAAATTAAATTCACTACTAAGGGCTAATACCGTAGTATAGCGTACTAAAGTTCGTATCCACATGGAAAGATGCTTTTTACGTATGTGTAAGCGTAACTAATAAAAGTAAA